GTAATGGAATATTATGGAAAGATTTCCTGGAGGAGGTGATGGCTGACTCATCCTTCCTCACTTGTCCTTCCTTGCTCACTTCCTCGCCTGGAAGGCTGAGTGAGAGATTACAGTAAATTGACATTAATCTTATTTGGAATATTAATGGCTTTGGGCTATGATAGCTTTCTTTATACCAAAAAAACGGCAGAGTAGGGAACCCCGGGGCTCCATCCCTCCATTAAAGCAACTAATGAGCTGGCAAAACTGTCAGAATCAACTTTTTCAGGGCTCTGGAAAGTAGTTGAAAACTTACAACAACCAGGGGAAAGCTTAATGAAGAAAGAATTGCATTGCAGCCAGCGTGTCCTTTGGTGCTTTAAATCATCTACCTACCCTCCACATTCCAGATTGGAGGTGGTCATGGAGACAGCAGCCTATACTCCTGGTGCAGGTTGCCAAGGACCTGAAAGGCCAATATGGACCTTATTCTCAAAGAACTGTGCTTGTATATTTCAATCTTTTTGGTGGCTCCCTGAAGGACTGGTGCAAGGGCTGGCCTTTGTGGCACCCAACTGAGAGCATTCCCAAGTCTTCTGGGAGGCTGCCCAGATGGCATTTGTCAAAGGCATTTAAAGGCAAAAGTATTGACCATAGCGGGCTGGAGTAAGGGATAAGAAGTTAGGACAAGCAAGAGACAAACCAAAAAGCTGGGGAAGAAAGAGCTTGGAAAAGAGTAATGGATGGGGGGTGGGTGGGGGGGGATGAAGGCTTTTAAAAGCTCCTGAGTATATCTGGGAATTGAGGTCATGCATGTGCTCCAAACTGGATGCATGCTCAGAAAAGGCCTAATCCTCAGAGACAGCCCTTAACTTTTAACTCTGGCTGACTTCCAAGCTTTGCACAAGCAGGAAGTAAAGGTGAAAGCAGTGAGTGTTACAAACGGCCTAAGTAGGAAGGCATGTCCCAACGTAGAGCTATCATAAAAGAGTGGGGAAGTTTTAAAAATTCTTTTTAAAAAAATTGGGGGACTTTAGGTGTTTTCTGGCACTATGTCAATATACTTGCTGACCACTAAGCTAATAGAACACAGATGTCAGTGATCACAAAATTAATTTAGAAAAGTAACTCATACAACAACAACCTAAAACAAGTAGCCACAACAAACAAAAATTGAGCTGACTTTTATATATGGACTGAGGTAATAGTCTATCTTCATTCTTTTACATGTGGATATCCAGATATCCCAGAACCATTTGTTGAAGACATTATTCCTTCCCCATTAAGTGATTTTAGTACCCTTATCAAAAATCAATTGACCATTGATTTATGGGTTTAATTTTTGACTTCCAAATCTATCCCGTTGGTCTGCATGTCTATCTGTATCTTTCTGGCCATTACCACTGTTTTGATACTATAACCTTGTACTAAGTTTTCAAATCAGGAAGTGTGAATCCTCCAATTTTATTCTTTTAAAAGAGTGTTTTCACTGTCAGGGTGCCTTGCAATTCTATATTAATTTTTGGATCAGCTTTTATATTCTGAAAAAAAAGTCTGTTGGTGTTTTAGGAGGGATTGCACTGAATCTGTAGATCTCTTTGGAGAATATTGCCATTTTAACACTATAACATCTTCCAACTTATGAATACAAGGTATTTTTTTTTATTTATTTAGGTTTCTTTAACTGCTTTCAGCAATGTTTTGGAATTTTCAATGTTTATATCTAGTACCTCTTTGGTTAACTTTATTCCTGAATATATTATTCTACTGATGCTATTGCAAATAGAATTATTAATTCTCTGGAAATAGTTTTTGTTGTTAGTGCACAGAACTATCACTGATTTTTGCTTTTTGGTCCAGTACCCTGCCACTTTGCTGAATTTATTACTTTTATTAACTTTATTATGAATTCTTTGGGTTTGCTATATAAGATCAAGTTCTCTAATAGAGATAGTTTTACTTCTTCCTTTCTAATTTGGTCATTTATTTCTTTTTCTGATCTGATTGCTCTGGCTAGAAGTTCCAGGACAATGCTGGATAACAATGATAAGAGTCGCATTTTTGTCTGTTACTGATCTTAGGGAGGAAGCTCTCAGTCTTTCATCATTGAATATAAAGTTAGCTGTGGGTTTTTCATAAATTCTCTTTATCAGGTTGAGGAAGTTTCTATTTTGTTTGAGTTTATTCCCCCTCACGAGTGTTGCACTTTTTTAAGTGCTTTTTTAAAAAATCTGTTCAATGATCATGTGGGTTTTCTCCCTTCGTTTTAGTACTATAGTATATACTACATTGATTGTTTTTCACTTATTAAGTTTCCCTTGTTTTCCTGAGATAAGCCCCATTTGCTTGTGTTTTATAGTCCTTTTAATATGTTGCTGGATTCCATTTGATTGTATTTGGTCAAGAAGGCTTACATCTATATTTATAAGGGATATTAGTCTACTGTTTTCTATTCTTGTGATGTCTTTGTCTGGCTTTGGTGGCAAGATAATAATATCCTCATATAATGAATTAGAAAGCTTTCCCTCCTCTTATATTTTTATAAGTATGGTGAAGATTTATGTTCATTCATCAAAAATTTGGCAACCTTCACCAGTGAAGTTGTTTGGTCTGGACTTTTCTGTGTGGGCAGGTTTTTGATTACTGATTTAATCTCTGTAATTCTGATTGGTTTATCTAGATTTTCTGTTCCTTCTTAAATCCATTTTGGTAGTTTGTATGTTTCTGAGAATTTGTCTATCTCACCTAGATATCTAATCTGTTGGCATGTAATAGTTTGTAGCATTCTCTCATAATCCTTGCTATTTCTGTAAAGTCAGTAGTAAATGCTCTGTTTTCATTCCAGAGTTTAATAATTTCAATCTTTCTCTTTTTCTTGATCAAATTATTTAAAAGTTTGTCAATTTTGTTGATCTTTCCAAAGAATCAACTTTTAATTTCATTTATTTTTTTTTCTATTCTCTATTTTGTTTATTCTAATTTTATCATTTCCTTTCTTCTGTTTGCCCTGGGTTTAGTTTTATCTTCTTTTTTCTAATTCCTTAGAGTGGGTAGTGAAATTAAGTTGATATGTTTCTTTTTTTGATGTAGGCATTCGTACCTAAAAATTTCCCTCTGAGCACTACTTTCAATCCTATTAGTTTTGGTATATTCTTTCAGTTTTCATTAATCTCAATATATTTCCCTTGTGATTCTTTTTTTCTTCGACCCACTGGTATTTAGTAGTGTTTCATTTTCACATATTTGTATGTTCTGCAAATGTCGTTTTGCTATTGATCTCTAATTTCATTCCATGATGGTCATAGGATATAGATAGTATGGTTTCAATCTTTGTAAGTGTATTAAGACTTGTTTTGTGTTCTGATATATGCTCTGTCCTAAAGAATCTTTCATGTGCATGTGAGAAAAATTTGTAATATGCTATTTTGGGATTAGATGTTCTATAGATGTTTGTTAGATCTATTTGGTTACAGTGTTTTTCAATTCTTATTTCTTTATTGATCTTCTGTCAAGTCTAACAATTGTTGAAAATGAAGTACTGAAGTCTCAGACTAATACCGTAGAATGGCCTCTATTTCTCCTCAATTCTATTTATTGTCATATATTTGGGGCTCTGTTGGTATGTGTATATATAAGGTGTGTATATACTTAAAATTATCATCTTGCCAATTTCTTCCTGTTAATTGAAGATTATTTGCGTGTAATGGAATTACTGATACTTTGGATATTATACATGCATTGGGTATAGTCAAAAGCGCGGGAGGGTGAGAAAATTCACCAGAGCCAGAGCTGGGAACAGAACAGGCAGACTGATGAAATACACTGCTGAGGGGAGCAGCGGGCACAGCAGGAGAGGTCTGTCGCACCATGTGGGACCCTCGCCGGTAGCCAGGGATCGAACCGGTGCTGCAGAGGCTGCGGGCAGCTTCGCAGCCCAGCACTCAACCGCTGCACCACCAGGGGAGGCCTGTGCCTTTTGCTCCATTACTATCTTCTTTCGTGTTTCATTTATTTCTTTTTTATTTCTTTCTCATTTCCTTCTCTGTTTATTTTTTAGCTTATTTTCTTAGTGGTTGCTCTGGGCATTACAATTAACACATTAATTTATAACAATGTATTTTTGGATTAATACATATTTGCTTTCAATAGTATACAAAATCTTTGTTCCTGTATAGCTCCACATCCCCTTATGTTACTGCCACAAATTACATCTCTAGACATTGCGTGTGAAGACAGATTTGTAGTTTTATGCAGTCATCTTTTAAATCATTTTGTATTTACCTCTGTAGCTACTGTTAGTGTCTTTGTAAGTATTCCAGTTCCCATCTATAGGAGCTAGAAAGATAGACTAAAAAAAAAAAAAAACAAACAAAACAAAACCAACCCAGATAATGAGAGGACCATTTAGTCTAAAAGAAGAGCTATTGCCTGAGAATGGAGTTGTTCAGGTAAACATGAGAGTGAATTTATAGAGTTCAGGGAATTCATGACTATATTTCTTGGAATCCATCATTGGATTTTCTTGATGACAAGACTGTAAGTTCCCATCTGTGGGGGGTAAAGGAGGGGCGTGTGCAGGCAGTGTGACTGACTGTATTGACAATTTGTAGCATTTGAGAGTTATGGGAGATGGAAGTGAGACAAGAAAGAATAGAACTGCACCCACCTATGCAACTCCACCATCCGACTAGGAATTCATTCCACGATGTTGGGTATTATTACCTTTTGGAAGTTCTTAGAAACAATGTTTTCTAAAAGTTCACTTTAGTACCCAGCGCTGCCATCCAGTCTGCCCACCCTGTAGGTGCCGCTGTGCCAGGCAAGTGTTGGTCCCAAGAGGCCATGCGGCGTGACTCAGCATTCGTCTCTGTGACGTACCACGCCGACGACGGTCGTTAGGAGTGAGCAGTATGGCGAAGCCAGCTATCGGTTTTGCTCTTCCTGTTTGAGGAAAAGAACGGAGTGCGGGAGGAGATTGAACAAGGAGGCGGCCAGGACTGGGCAAGGACTGAAGTAAGATTGATCAGGGAGGTGAGGCTGACCCGTGGGCGGCCACAGCTCTGACCGGTGGCGGCCGGTGGCCGGTTGCCTCACGAGGCGGTCCGTTGGTTGAGTAGGCCCAGCCATGGCCGTGGACTTTGGGGACCACGCCAGTGGGTTCCGCCACATTGAGGTGATCAGGTTCATTAACAACGAAGTCCTCATGAACGGAGGCGGCCCGGATTTCTACCAGGATTTCCGTTCACGGCCCTGGACTGAAATAGAGGATAGGCTTCGGGCGGTAGTGGTCAACCCGGAGGTGCCGCGCACCCTCAAGAGGGCCTGCGCCTGGAGCGCGCTGGCCTTGAGCGTGCGCGTGGGCGCCAGGCAGCGCGAGCAGCAGGCGTGCAGGATCCGGCAGCTGCAGCAACAGGTAGACGAGTGTAAGGAGACTTCCTGGGCCCTGGCCACGGAGCTGCAGTGGCTGCGAGACGAGCGTCAGGCGATGGCCGCTCAACTGCACTTCATGTCGGCCACCCTGCAGCGGGTCCTGAATGAGCGTGATATTTTATACGGGCAACTGCTCCAGGCCCAGAGTTCGGCCCAGGTCACCACGCTGGCTGGTGATACGGAGCCTGGACCTTCAGCCGAGCAGCTTGAGGCTTCAGCATGGCCCCAGAATGAAGAGCAGCAACATGATAGGTTGCCCATGGGGATTCATTTGCAGGCACCTGCCCCTACTGTGGCTCCTCCAGCTATGTTTTACATGCCAGGACCCCCGGTTCCCTGGGCCCAAGCCATGCCACCCCTTCTGCCAGTGCCGGTGCCTTATTTGTTTCGCCCACGATTCCCTATGGAATCCCCATCCTTGCAACCTGTACCACCACCACTACCACCACCACTGCCACCGCCTCCAATATCCACGGACACAGAAGCTCCAGTGGCCCCATTTCTGATACCCCCTCCAGGGATCTATCCCCCTGTCCCGTGGGGTGCAGCGGGTTTCCAGAATGATATGGCCCCACTGGGGGGCCAGAGTAGCTACCACCAGGAGGGAGGTCCTAATATTCTCCAGGATACAGCCCCCCTGAGGGACATCAGCAGCAATAGCCAAGAAAATCTAGAGGGACCCCAGGGGATGGTCATCCCAGGCAACACCATTTGCCATAGCCAGGCAGAAAGTTCAGATAGTTCCTGGAGGCCAGCTCTCATGTGGGTTAGCAAGAGCCATAATCAGGCAGAAGGTCCAGAGAAGGCCCAAGGAGGGGACCCCCTGGGGGACAGTGGGAGATATAACCAAGAAGAAGATCCAGAAAGACCCCAGGGCTTGTTCCTCCTGGGAGGGAGCAAGAGCCAAAGACAGGAGGAAGATCTGGTGAGGCCACAAGAGACTGTCCCCCTGGGAGGTAGCAGAAGCCAAAATCTAAAAGAAGGTTCACAGAGGCCCCCGCAGGTGGCTTCCCTAGGGCATGGTGAAAGCTATGCTGGGGAAAAAGCCCCACAGAAGTTCCAGGCAACCCTCCAGGGTGTAAGAGAAAATACAAAGGAACAGCAGGCTCAGGGAGAGAAGGCTAAGCAACCAGAAGGGGAAAAATCCTCCGATTCCCAGCCTGATGAGCGGTCTGCCTCAGGCTGCAATCCAGTGGATTGGAGCTGCCCCTGGTGTAAGGTGCTGAATTTTCCATGGCGCAAAACCTGCTATAGATGCAAGAAAGTCTACACGGCGGCAGCTGAGAGTGGAGACCCGGAGTCAGGGCAAGCTCTGGGGTTGGACGAAGGTAAGAGAAGCACATCCCCTAAGACCTCTTCCCCTTTAGATTAAAACATAACTCATTTACTTCAAAGAAATTTCAAATCAAAATTATAAACAAAATGAAGTGAAATAATCCATCATCCCATTACCCCAGCTAATAACTCTGTATCATTGTGGTGGACACAGATACACATTAATATGTATGTATTTATATTAGTTTTATTTTTCATTTGCACAAAGAGGGGCTGTTTTGAGTATCACCCTTACACTTTAAATAGAGGCTTTACTTTTGATTCCATTGACATCCACAGGTGGTGAATCCTGGATGGCTGGTGCTGATTGGTTGACACCCTGGAGAAGCCAAAGTCACAAAGAATTTTTTTGAAAAGTTGTTTTCTGCTTTCTTATTAACCACCTTTCCCTGAACATGCCATGTGTTTGGCTGGGAACAGCCACATATTATTAGAGTTACAAGTAGTAGTGAATTTTAGGAACATCCTATTTCTTGAAAATTCTATATTCCTTTTGTAAGCTACTGCATTATTTATATTTGCTCCTTGTGTTTGTTTTTTTAAATTTTACGGGTAAGGGCTTGTTTTTATGTCTCTGAGCCCCACACGACTTGTTTGTTGCTGAAAAAAGCTGAACCTGTTTCGTTAGAAGATCTCAAGACCCTAAAGAAATCACAGCTCAATTCTGACTGAGTCACACCTCAGTGAGAGCCCCTCTCCCCCCAACCTCACTCCCCCAAGTCCTGAGCTGAGAAAAGTGAGAGGACGTGAGGGAAGAAGAGAGATTTGGCATGCATTAGGGAGGAAAGAGAGGGCAAAGTAATTTTGGTAGAGTTTCACTGTTGGTCCAAGGAATCTGTACGAGTTGGAGACTGCAGTGTTAAATTCTGTAGATAATAACAAATTGGATGAATTTCATTTAATTCATTAAATAGCTATAGTGTAGTATGTGTTAGGAACTAGACCTTTATTATCTGGGGTGCACATTATAACCTGACTTGGTGAGTCTGGTCAGATACTGGGGGAGAGCCTTATTTGGAATATCAATTCTCGCAAGAATGACCTTGTCTTGTGCGTGGTATGGCTTTTGGGTAAACTCAATTGAAATAACATCCAATTATTTTTGCAGTTTTGGGGGCAACATCAAAGAGACTGCTTGTCTCATAGGGCCCCGGTGAGATAAGTGGGCAGTGGCAAAGATCAGGAAAGTGGCCTCACAAGAGAGCAGGGACGACTTTTCTGTCACTCTGCTGATTTCCTCCCTCGAGTAGAACAGCTGACATCGGAATGCCTGCAAGACCACTTGGGTGTTTGCAAGGACTGTGCTTGTGGGAGTGATGGCTGCGCACTCAAGCCTCAGCTTCCAGCCAGCACCTTCTCAAGTCCCTTTCCAGTCAAGAGTGGACAAAGAGCAAAATGGACTCCATTGTGCAGTGCACAGGGCTCCTCTTGGGAGCACTAATGGGTTAAAAATGGAACTGGACTGGGACATGCGCTCTAGAGACTGCTCCGGCTGTCTCTTCCACTTGGTGTGTTCTCTGCAGACTCACCTTTCCGAGGGGCTGGGAAGTTAGACCTGCCTCCTGTCTGAACAAAAGATGTCCTCAAGTTCCCCTCATGAGATCCCAGCTCACCAGGCTCACCCTTTGTCGGGGGGTTTCTGATCCTAAGTAGTAATAAAGAGCGTGTGCACTTGTCTGCTGTGTCCTCTGTGTGGCGTGTATCCTGGGGCCGGTTGCTCAGAGGTGGCAGCTTTAATTCCTTGCATCCCACTGAGGTGAAGGAAAGTTCAATCTCATTCACTAGTAGGGGGCCCCTCCTCTGCCGAGAGTTACCCAAGTTGGGAGGAGGGGCCTGGGTGTGGCCTTCAGTCCTTGTGGATGTTCCTGCTGCTCCCACTGTCCAAATCCACATGGTCCCTTGGAGGTGGGCATGTGTGTTGCTCCTGGGCCCGCGGGGCACGAGAGTGAGGAGGGAAGGGGGCTTCTCCCTAGGCTGGGGGCCCTAATGCTGGGGTCCAGCCTCCCTGGGCACCAAGAAGCCGTTTATTTCCCTGAGGCCCTGTCTCTGAGTAGATACTCCTGCATTTCCTCCCCGCAAGGCATTGTCCTCTTGCCTATGCGGGATCCCATCAAGGTGCTCAGGATTCTAGAAAGCAGCAGGTGTAGGTCTGCTAACAAGGCGTGTGTTCTTGGAGACAAAGGGGACTAGAGTCTGGCTCCAGGCTTGGTACGGGGATGGGGATGGAACAGAGAAGGCGTGATCCTGCCCCAACAGCTTTCTCCTTCAGATTTCCCGATTAACCAGGAGGTCTTGGTCACTTGGGAAGGTCCTAGGGAGGAAGGAGACCCTCAGGCACATCAACCCAGGGCTAGATTTTCTGGATTGGGCATGAATTTCTGCTACTCTTGTGTGCTGATAGTTCCCTGGAATTCTGGGAAGCTGAGGCACATGAGACTTGCTCCAGCATAATCCATTTTGATCTGCCAGCAGGTCATTCTCGATCTCGCTACAATTGCTTCATTTACAGTTTGAAACAGACTCTGCTTTTCACTAACATGCATTTAGGTCTGCATGAAGCAGACTCACACTGTGCATGGCTTTTATATAGGTCAATATGATTAGTCTTCCAGAGCAGATGTTTTCCAAAGCAACCTGAATCACCGAGGCTATCAAATCATCAATTTCTTCTGAGCTAGGTACACACAGGAAAAGGTGAGGCAGTTTCTGAGGCAAGAACCTGGGCTACAGAGTAAGCCCTGAGTTCAGATACTTGTTCTGCTGTTCACTAGCTGTGTGACCTTGAACAAGTTACTGAACTTCTCTGAACTCCAAGGAGGGGTAGTACCCTTTCCCTCTCCTTAGGGTGCCATGCTAGATGCTGCTGTAGTGAGGATGAGGGTCTTAATATAATGATGGTGAGAGCACCACTGAGCACTTACTAGGTGCCATTACGCCTTTTGTTGACAATAAGGTATATTAGGTACCCACATAAATAGTTCTTCAAAGTGAGGGCCTCCCCGGTGGCGCAGCGGGTTGAGCACTGCGCTGCGAAGCTGTCCGCAGCCCCAGCAGCACGGGTTCTATTCCCGGCCAGCCAGGGCAAAGCCCACATGGCGAGCAGACGTCTCCTGTCGCGCCCACTGCTCCCCTCAGCAGTGTATATCGGTCCGTTTGCCTGTTCTGCTCCCCGCTCTGTCCTCGGTGAACTCTCTCATCCTCCCACGCCTCTGACCTGTACCCCAGTTCTTGTATAAATACATAAAAAAATCTTTTAAAAAATAGTTCTTCGGGCCTCCCCGGTGGCGCAGCGGTTGAGCGCTGGGTTGCGAAGCTGCCCGCGGCCTCTGTGCGTGGTTCGATCCCCGGCTGCTCCCCGCCACCGGAGGAGGGTCCCACATGCTGCACAGACCTCTCCTGCCGCCCGCTGCTCCCCTCAGCAGTGTACTTCGGTCCTTCTGCCTGTTCTGCTCCCTGCTCTGGCTCTGGTGCTTCTGACTGTACCCAGTGCATGTATAAATAAACAAACAAACAAACAAATAAATAAATAAATACATGCCTCTTAAAAAAATAATAAAAAATCGTTCTTTAAAGTGAGTATTATCCCCATTTTACACATGTGTTAACTCAACACTAATATTTGGGAATTGGTGAACCCTGGCTTTAAAATGAAAACGTACCAGTTTCTAATGTCTGTGTTCTTTCCAGCACACCACACTGCCTTCCCATTTCACTCTAAGTAATATATTTGCATGTTAATATGGCTCACCAGTGCAAAAACCCAGTGAAATGACTGCAGTGGTATAGTGGCAGCCTGGTGGTCATGGAGCTGCCCTTAGAGAACCTCTCAAGCTTTGAATCTGTGACCACTGAGGCTGCACCCCGATAAGTCCACCGTGGGAGAGACTTGCATTTGCTATAGCAGACTGGCCTAATGAGCAGTTCCTATTAAGCTCAGTTCATCTTATTAAGCTAGAACCCATCTTGACTGCTTATCTAAAGTCTCAATTATTCAATTTTGTTTTAAGTGGATAAGGTGCTAGCTTTAACAGTCCTCTATGTATTATATTCGCCTGGTACTCTTTTCAAGGAAGAAGTAGGGGGGAAAAGGAAGCTTCAAAAAAGCTGCAGACTTGTGGTATAAAATGGCGCACACAATCGATGTTTTTAAAATCACGCTACTAAGTCTATGACAGAATGGCTGAGAAATACATGATTTCCTTATCGCATGGTTTGCAATGTCTCAACACCCAAAAGTAGCGGATTCTTATGTGGTGCAGATATCGTGCATAGCACTCTTGAGTGGTTTCCTCACTTTTAGCACATGATGATGTGTGCCTCCACTGACCCTGGCTGGTGAACTCTCGAGTTTGCTGTTGAACAGATTTTCTTGTTGACAGTGTTTGTTCTTTGGTGCATAAAACCAGTGTTCAGGAACAAAGTGCAATAGGCATAGGAAGTGTTGCTGCACTGGTTCTTGCTACCCCCAGGGGACTTGGGCCACTTACTTGAGTGCTCACTGTTGAAAGCTCTCTATTCAAGGGAGTGAAGAATCATTCCAGGTGATCAGATCCTGGCTGAGCTAGTCCAACTTTTCTGAGCCATGAGCCATTGCAGACAGCATCATGTCCACCTACTGTCCATTTTAGATGGAAGAAATGTCAATAGGAAACTCTAGCTTAAAGAAAAAAACAGTGTCCTCTTTGGTGATGCAAGGGGTTAAGATGTAGCACTATGAAGTTATCTGCAGCCACTGCAGCATGAGTTTGATCCACGGCCAGGAAGGTGACCCATATGGTGCCGCTGACCTCTCCTGTCTCGCCCACTGCTCCCCTCAGCAGTGTATTTCGTCAGTCTGCCTATTCTGCTCCCCACTCTGTCTCTGGTGAATCTTCTCACCCCCTGCACTTCTGGCCTGTATCCCAGTTCTTATATGCATAAATAAATAAATCTTAAAAAAAAAGAGAAAAAAACAACTATTATTACTTTTCAGAGTAAGCCAACAACACGCATGTAGAGAAGAACTCCCAAGCTCTGGGGTACAGTTAGACTCTGTGAAAGAGATCCTAATTGCCCTTGATAATCTCTTTTACTAGAAGAAATGAGACAAATATACACCAAACATTAGTTATCAGCCTTTTCTTCACTGCCATCATATTTTCTGACCTATAGTTATCAGTTTTTGAAAGAGTCTATATATCAAACAGCATTATTTAAGACATGATTATTTTCTCACTTAAAATTAAGAAAGCCTTTATATCTGTAAAAATCCCCTTACACAAAGTTATATAATCCCCATCTAAAACAATCACTTGCCATTTAAGTTTAGGATTTTTGTGAGGATTCTATGAATACTACTACTACTATTACTACTACCATCATTACTATTACTACTACTATTACCACCACCACTACTACTACACACAGCTTAATCACAGGCAAAAGGACCATTTCCAGACTCTGTAATAAAATACCTCAGAAGCCATCCTGTCCATCATCACTACTGTCTTTAAACTTCTATGAACTTTAGGTATCACAAGTTTGGTACAGTTTCCATAGAAAGCTAATAGTTTTAATACAGCTAAATACCCGTAAGTGATAAAGGTTTTTAGAGGAATCCAAGTTCAGTATGTATCATTTTGGGTGGCAAAGCTTCCACAATAACTGGATGATTTCAAATTGTGTCCCCAGTCCCCAGATGAAAAAGTTGCTGAGAAAGTGGACTTGTTTTACTTCAAAATAATATGCAGTATTACAGCTTCACTTGTGACACTCTTCAGCTCTTTGTTTTTTATGTTTATATCTACTACTTTAGATTTTGTTCTTCGTTCTGTGCTACCTTACAAAAATAATTGCACACAAGGCGGAAACCTGTGATTACTTTTGTGGTAGGAAACATTAAAAGCTCTCCCAGTGTTTACAAAATGATGACAAAGAGTTCTGTGAGGGTTTTGTCTAAGTAAAAATTTTAGGAGATTTAATCTCATTTATTTTTGCTTGATGTATATTTACTTTGATAATTTCAGTGAACCATATTCATTCCAGGAAAGAAAAGGAGCGAGCAGGTATTGAAAATGCCACGCCTTTATCGCTACAATTCCTGATATTATCTAGACAGTTTTGAAACTTCAGAATATGTATGACTTGCTTTGTAAGAGACATATTATCAAACTCCCTGTTGATCAATGTTTCTAGTACTTTTTCATGAAATATTTATGACTGAGAAGGAAAATAATGATGATGATGTTGCATCTGTAACTACAAAATGCTTTTAGAAACTCACCATTAGCTTTTTTGGCTACTAGGTTATAATATTTCATTTGTATTTACAAAGCTGCTTAGGGAGACATTTATAGTCCATTTCATTCCATTCCTTTGCCAAATTTTGGTGTTTGTGGGGGTATAGATCAAGTGGTCACCCATGTTTCACGACATCAGAGGTTTCTTCTTAAATGTTCAGGCCCCCCCAAAAAAGTATAGACAAAAGAACCATCTTTTAGACTTTAATCTTTTAGTTGAAGCTCCAGTGGTAGAATTTATTTTTGTGCTTCCAAGAAAGAGAACAGATTTTTAGAAGAAAAGCTGGAGTCTCCTTTACAAAGTGATGCTTTCTTGTACTGATATACCCTGAGTGCCTCCACCCAGGATGGAGGGAGGGAGAAAAAAGAATCAATCACAAACCAAAGG